TTTTTTTTTTCACGTATATAAAATAATATATAAATTATTCTTTTTTCCAAATTTTAGTATTAAATATATGTTTTAATTTTTGTAAATTTAGTTTCACATTCATAAAATATTTTCTGTCCATAAACAAAACATAAGATTTAATATCTTGAAAATGATTTATTCAGAGAAATAAGAAAATTTAACAAGCCTGTACTTTTTTTTCACATGTTTCTGTGTATTAATAAACATAATTTCTTAATCTCATCTTCCAATAACCACCACGACATTATACTATTAATAAACATAATTTCTTAATCTCATCTTTGAATAGCCACCACTACATTATATCCGAATATTTGGATTTATATTTGTCAGTTTCAGATAAGACAGTGACTGTATGGAGCTATCTTCATTGAGTGTAAACAGACACGTAAGAACCCGCGATTAAGATTGGTCTTGGAACACGAAGGGCTCTCATTCATTCAGCAGAAAACGTGGTCAAAAGCTTATCCAACAAGTTGGAATCTTGAAAGGTTCCATCCTCTATCCTCTGTAACATGTCTGGTTCTGGAAAATTCTGGAAAACGAAATGATACTCCCATTCAGTGCTCATTTCTCACGACCCCACCCATGATGTCGCGTTTTCCAGAATTCTCCACACCTCCTTCTTCAAAGTTCTATTCTATATATATATATTTCACAAAAACCCTACCTTCTCCACACTTCCACCACTTCATCAGATTAACAACCTTAATTTTTCTTCTGTTCTGCGGTCTCAACAGACAGAACACAACACTCTTCAAAAATGGCACACGCTTTGTCTTCTAATCTGGCTCTTAACCTTCCTACATCGAGGTATCTTCTTCACTCCAGACCAACCCAGTTGAAGCCAGTGAAGTTCATGGTCATGGGGGATGCAAGAGAAAAGCTTGACCACATCCCAAAACCCAACAAGAACCACCATCCTCTTCCCAAAAAGAAAGTTGCCCCTGCTGCACCCATAGGTACCTATTCTTATAATTCCATTTTGTTTTCGAAAATTTACTTTAGGAAACAAAAATTATCAGAAACATCTACCTAAAATTTCAAAACTTTTATTAGAAAAATGTTAAAATTCGAAATAAAGTCAATTTATGAATGAAAAAAAGTCAGGTTTTGTGGGTTAAGTTAAGTTTAAATCTATTTCTTAACATTAGAAATCAGAATCCTAATGATATTTATCGACCTCAGTTTTGTAGTTTTGTGGTAGTGAGTTAATACATGAATTTCTTTCAAACCGTATAAATAATCGGTTTTGTGGGTTTATTGTTTTAGTCTGAGTCAGCATTATTTTTGTTTCTGTAGTTGACACTGATTGTGTGAGTATGTACGTGTGTTGATTGAATCAAAACAGGGTTGTGGGACAGGTTTCCTACGGCAAGAACAATGCAAGAGATGATGGAGACGATGGAGAGGATGATGGAGGACCCTTTTGCATTTAGCACGCTTGAGTGGCCTTCGTCACCCTTACCGAGTGAGGGTGTGGGAGGGTACAGAAGAAGAGGAAGGGCACCATGGGAGATCAAAGAGGGAGAGAATGAGTACAAGATGAGGTTTGACATGCCTGGGATGAACAAAGAGGATGTGAAAGTTTGGGTGGAGGAAAAGATGCTTGTGGTTAAAGCAGAAAAGGCACCAAAGAAGAAAGAGATTGTTCAACAGGATCAACGGCCGAGGCAACCAGAAGAGGAAGAAGAAGAGGGATGGTCTGCAAAGAGCTATGGCAGGTATAGCAGTAGGATTGCTCTGCCCGACAATGTGCAGTTTGAGAATATTAAGGCTGAGGTTAAGGATGGTGTTCTCTACATAGCCATTCCCAAAGCTACTACTACTTACTCCAACATCTTAGATATCCAAGTTCAATGATTCATGTTTCTGTCTTCTATACTATACAGAGTTTTTTTTTTGGTTTCAACAACAGTTAATTATGTAGGTATCTACGTAAGTTATTTTAATTTCTTGTAATTTTCTTAATTTCGTTTCAGAAAAATACTCTGATTTCCAATTTTCTTTTTCTTTTTTCCCTCACGTTTTTCTTTATGATTAACAAAGAGAACACCTTATGACTAGATAATTCTACCTTCTCTCAGATTAATATTTTATTTATTATATTTATCATGGTAATTAATAAATCTTTATATCTTATTAAATTACATTTATGTTCATCATTATGTCACATAATTAAATTTATTTATTAATTAATTATAACAGTCTAGTTAGTATTTACTGTAGTAACTGATTTATTAAATGTAGATTTTGCTACGTGTCTTTTTCTAATTTTCTTAAAAGTTTTATTATTGACTTGAATATGTTTTCATTAATTATATTTGAGTTTATTTTTAATTACTATAATTTTTGTCTAATTTCCGTGTATAACTTTCAAATGATGTTTACAAAAATAGAATCATCATAAAAAAAATTGTTTAAGAATTATGATATTTTTGTGTAATCGTCTTTCTCGTAATTCAAATGATTTTAGGTATCATTTTAGATCCGAACTTCTTTAGATCACTAAATAAATTTAATTCAATTTTAAATTTATGACAAAATTTAAATATTTTTAATCGAATTCTATTTAACTTATTTAATATTTTAAATACTTAAAATTTTATATTTATTAATTGAATACTTAAAATTAGTTATCGATATAAAATATCAATTAATCTCTTACTATCATCATTAATGGAAATAAATAAATATACACATTGATAGAATATATTTATATTCACTGTGTTTAAATGCATACATTAATATAATAAATATACACAGTGTTGTATTTATCATAACCTTTGGAATCTAATTTTATAGTTATTTTTTTCTAAACCGTAACAATAAGGAACTAAAAATACATTAAATATAATAATTGATTTAAACTTATTCATTATGGGTTCTCAATATAAAAGGATTGGAAATGTCCATAATTTTAATTTCTTCTCAAAAGTATTTGAACAAAAAAAATTCCATGTGCCATAAAAGAAAAAAAAATGTACATAATAAAACCTCATCGTGTTAACAAATTAGAAATGGACCACTTCATTCTATTTTCTGACATTTAGGGAAAGAAATTAGTATTGGATAATATATAATGTGGTAAATGTTGATAATAATAAGTACTTGTGAATGAAAAAAGTTCATGGATTATTATTGTAAAATAATTTATAGTCATTTCTTAAAAGATAATATTTGTAATATAATAATGACATCAAAATTAGAATCTATGACTTTTCTATACCATCAAAACCTCAATTACTATATGATGTCAGTTATCTTAAAAGAAAAGAAACAATAAATCAATTAATAAAATCATACTAATAAGCAACGACATTAAATATTTGGTAGATAAAAGACATTAAATATTGCAATTAGAAATATAAATAATTAGTTACCATTATTAGAACACTTTGGTTGAATATTATGGGTATAACATCCACTTTACCAGCTTACATAAAACAACATATAGATAAGACAAAAACATATTTTATATA